GGACAGACACAGGTACTGGGGGGTGTCCCTGGGGACAGACACAGGTACTGGGGGGTGTCCCTGGGGACAGACACAGGTACTGGGGGGTGTCCCTGGGGACAGACACAGGTACGGGGGGGTGTCCCTGGGGACAGACACAGGTACTGGGGGTGTCCCTGGGGACAGACACAGGTACTGGGGGGGTGTCCCTGGGGACAGACACAGGTACTGGGGGTGTCCCTGGGGACAGACACAGGTACTGGGGGGGTGTCCCTGGGGACGTCCTGGGGGGACATCGAGTTCTCTGGGGGGCAGAGGCCTCACCCCCTGCCCCCCTTCAGGCTGGCCTGAGCCACTGGTGACCCAGGAGAGGGGGACCCCCGCCAGTGCCCCCCCAGAAGCCCCGGGGGGGCTGCAACAGGACCTCCCGGAGCCACGGAGAGCAGGGCCCCACCCCGGCCCCCCGCGAGGCCCATAAAGCTGGTGTTGAGCCCCCGACTCTGAGCCTGCTCTGGGGGAACTGGGAGGAGAGGGACGAGCCCGTGGGACCTGGGGGGCAGGGTGGGTGCACACCGGGGGGGTACACGGGGGTGGGGGGCTGTGCTGGCGCCGTCCTGCCCGACAGGTCTTTATTAGGGGAGAGGGGCTCACAGGGGTGGGGGTCTCCGGTGGCGCAGCTGGGGCTGGGGCCAGCGGGAGGGCAGGAGGTAGAGCAGGGCCAGCAGTGCCAGCAGTGTCAGTGCCCACGGTGCCCACAGTGATGCCCGTGGGACCAGCGGCCGGGCTGGCTCCTCGCTGCTCCCCGCCGGGGCTCCGGGCACCGCCGGCCCCGAGCCCTCCTCCTCCTCCTCCTCCTCCTCCGTGTCCCCTGTCCCCTGGCAGGGCAGTGGGCCGGGGGTCATACGGGGGGGTCAGTGGCTCTGGAGAGCCCACAGGGACCCCGGTGCCCCCTCCCTTACCTGGCTCGGTGCCGCCGTGGCCGCTGTGGCTGCAATGTCCGTGGCCTGGTCAAGGGGGCACCAGGGGCGCCTGCGGGAGGAAGAGGAGGGGTGAGGGTGAGGAGGAGGAGCGGGAGCAGGCGGCAGCACCAGTGGATCACCCCCCTTCTGCCAGGCCCACTTTTGGCCCTTTCCTCCCCATTTCTGAGCCCTGGGAGCGCTGGGAAGACTGAAGTGCTCCGGGGCTGGGCTGCCGGCCAGCCGGGATGCCACACGGCCCCGAGGAGCCGGAGCTGGGCTGGCCTGTCCCCATCCCCTCCCCGGCCCCGTGTCCCCCCCGGCCCCACGTACATGGCCCAGGCGTCCCTCATCCGGCCCAGCTGCTGCCGCAGCTGCATCGTCTCCAGCCGCAATTCCTGGGGGGAAAGAGGGCGTTTTTCAGCCTGCACGGTGAGCAGCTTGGGCAGCCTCTGCCCCTGGCCC